TCTACTTACAATAATCTACGACCTCGTGGGTCTCGTTTGCCCCACATGTATGTATTACCAAAAATAAATGAACAAGGTTATCCTCTTAGACCTATTTTGTCAATGATCAATTCACCATACCACAAAGTTGCACGATGGTTAGCAGATAAGTTAGAACCAGTGCGTCAACGATTAGCCACCTATACACTAAAGGATTCATTTGTATTTGCTGACAGCATGAATAACATAAATATTGCTGATAAGTTTATGTTTTCTTTTGATGTAACATCATTGTTTACAAAAATACCACTTCTTGAAACCATAGACATAATTTGTCAACATTCTGACGTCCTACCTCTACCAGCACCAGAATTCAAACGACTATTACTCATTTGTACAAAAGATGTTCAGTTCCAGTTCAACGATATCATATACAAACAAACCGACGGTGTAGCAATGGGAAGTCTATTAGGTTCTGTCCTAGCAGATATTTTCATGGCTAACCTCGAAAGAACCGAACCCAAACGAGCGATTGATGAAATGATGTACTATTTGAGATATGTTGATGATACCTTTCATCGTATGTAATAATCAACAATATGCAATAAATCCGCTAAAGTTTTTCTTCGAAGCCCATCCAAATATCCATTTCACTATGGAACATGAAAAAGAAAACAAGTTCCATTTTCTCGATATCGCGATGAAAAGAAGAAAAGACGGTACAGTTCAACGTTCTGTTTATAAGAAAGACACATGGAATGGTAGCTATCTCAATTTCAATGGCTTTTGTCCAATCAGTTACAAAAAGGCACTGGTCAAAACACTGTTTCACAGAACAGAAGGAATATGTACTCCCGATACACTAGAAGATGAAGTAATGAATGTTTTTAAAAAAATGTTTAAAGAATAACGCATACCAACTGAAATGTATTGAGAAATATGGAAAACGTGAATATAAAAACCCAAATAAACTACAGCAAATAAAAAAAGTTATTTTATTAAACTTAACCTCAAAGGTGATGACGTCACGGAGTCAGTCAATATGAAACTAAAAACGACAGTAACAAGAACTTATCCTGAAGCTAAACTGATTGTCTTGTCCAAAACAACATGTTCTTTGACACAATCAAAGATCGATAGGTATCCCTTTCATGTAACCACCATCTATGTATGCAAATTTACATGTATCGGTCAAAGCGCTTACATCGGTAGAACAGAAAGGAGAGGCTACGTTCGATTCAAAGAACATATTCTGGACAGTTTAAGATCAAATGAGTTAAAAGCATTCAGTAATGCCATCGCAAGATATCTCCTTGACACAGGACATGAAGTCGATACACTGAAGTCCTTCAACATGATTAACAAACAATCAAACTCCGACCTTTTGAAATTTGTCGAAGAGATAGCAATCAAACGTGTAAAACCAGATCTATATATACAAAGATAGACAGTAATAAATCTTTATTCGCCCTGATAACAATAAGCCCTCCTTTTTTATTCATTTATTTCTCTATTTATTTACTGCGTCATTACTCCAACTCTTTCAAATTACATCATACATAACTGACTGATTTCAATTCATATTTTCTTTATTACCATCATTCTATTTTCATGAGTTCTAATCACTATTTCAATGTTCCGGAACTTTCCCTCTCAAACTCTATTTATTCGCGACAAAAATTTTATGACCTCATTAACTCTATCCGAATCTTCGCTACACCATGATACATTTATCCATCTTTAATCACCCTCTTATGTATAAGTATGCCAATATCTGTAATAATTTTGAATTTCAAATATCTTAGGTTGTAAGCAGCTGATGAGAACCTAACGAAATAAAATTCATATTATTCTCCACCAATCTTTGTTCTTGCTCTCTTTAAGATAATAAAGGGAACTATGTGTATAAAATGATATATATTCATAGATTATTTCAAAGAATCAATTAAGCATATGATTACGAATGACTTAATTCGAGAAGTAAGGCTAATGAAGTTCAACTGTGTTTAGTGTGAGACAAGTATTACTAATGAATGGTAGTAATGTAATATCACAAAATGACTAAATTTGGAAATGTAAACCACTGAATACAAGTTCAGTAGTTTAAAGTTTAAAACTTTAATGCAAGACATGAAGCTCCTTGGATTGATTCCTAGTGGGCCAGTGGACATACATTGCTGGAGAGTCCTATTTCAAGAAGAAACATCTGTTCGATGTTTCCTATTATTTAATGGTTGTCTAATTAATGTCAGTCTGTGATATAAACTATAAAGTAATTTATAATTATTCCATATTAACTGAAGATCTCACAAAAAATACTACATATCTTCAGCTTAATCGACGTCACATTCAGAAAATAAAAGGTAGAAATGTTATGCCTCAAGGAAACCATACAATTTCAAAAGTAATAGCTCTAAATTCAATACTATCTTATTCTAAACTAGATTTATTTGACATAGTTAAAATCCGCCTATTCAAAATGACAGTAAGTGAAAAGTATACCATGAAAACAGACTTACGGATTGATATATTTTATCAAATATTAATTAACAAGTTGTAAATGATAAGAATATAGGGTGAACTGTACACTTCATTATCCATTATCAAGACTCAAGTTTACATCCTGTTGCATATTCAAAAAAAAGAATAACATCTCATCAATAGTAGATTACAGTATTCGTCTAACAGAAAAAGCGTTTACATGTCACTGACCTTGAAGTTGAATCTAATGTTCCACAATTACCGTCAAATTATTCAAGATGATTTACTTTGAATCTAATAAAATAGATAAATAACAAGGATACTTCTTATGTTATAACTGAAAAATCATTAGAATAATTTCAATTATCAAGATTATATAAACATATAAGTATATTTATTATAAATACAAATCTGTATTATCAATAATCATTCCTAATTTCCTGTTTGATTAACCAATTGATAGAATCCATTGAATACTCTAATGAAAGGATCTATTTATCTGTAATGTTATTTTCTACTTATCGTAAGTACCATATTTCTTAACAATATCAGATGGGTTTTGTGTATATTATAGTAATTTCAATGGTTAAGATCATGAGCCAGTTGAAGCTAGGCCAACATGGAAAACCTGGAAGCACTGGACTGCTGTTTCGTCCTATTGTGCGACTCCCCAGCAGCGCGCATCCATGGCCCATGACCTACTGGTTTCGCGTGCGAGCACTTAACAATTAGACCACTGATCCAGTCGGTACCCAACGTTGTTAATGTCTAACTTCAACCAATCCATGAAATTGAGCGACACGTCCATCATTGTCTTCAGTGAGTTACTATCTCACAACAGACTTGGTTGAACTCCACTGGTCACTATTTCTCACTAGAACTCCAGGAAATACCTCTTGAAGCCAGTCAAGTGCTTCCAGGTTTGCCATTGTGATCTAGCTTCAATTGACTCACGATCTTAACCATTGAAATGAAATATCAGTAAGTTACAATGATATGTGATCTTAACAGATATCAGAAAATCTATATATTAGATAAACAGAGGAAATGGTGGAGAAGATTTGTAGCTCAGGTGGATGATTTTGACGGAGTTTTGTTCTCTGAGCTGATTAGTAGAGCCTAATTTTCCCTATACCTGACTACAATAAATAATATCCCGTTAACTGAGTATTTATTGCAGGCTAAATCTCCTAGTAGAATTATGGATTTACTCGAGATTATTCAAAAGTCTGAATATCAGTTATAGAGATAGTTTATTGTTAAAGATTGGTAAAATCCGCAAGCGTACAGGAAGCAATAATAGGAATAATTCAAATTGTCAGTAACTTAATTTTTGAATACGTCCTTATTTATCTGGCACTGGATAGAGTATTCATATTTGATCACCATCCAGTGATCAACCAATTGTGATTACATCTCAATCCTACAGGAGGTCGGTCACGGCACGGATATCCTAGGGGTAAGGTCTCTGGCTATGAAGCTGGGTGGCACGGGATCTAATCCGTCAAGGAGCACCAGTTTCCCCAAGATTACATGTACACCCTGCTGACGAGTGCCAAGTAGCACGAAACCCGGGTCCAGGGTTTCCTGTTGAATACCTTCAACAACCATCTAATCTCAGCAAGGTGCAATCAATGTTGAGTCACCTAAACTAGTGGCCACATTCCAACTTGATCGATAGCATTCGATCTGCACTAAGATGGACTTGACATACATGACATTGATCAGCACCCAGTGATAAATCAATTGTGATTCATATTTGCTTATCTTTTTTTAAAAAAAGAAGATAACTAAATTGGTAATAATAGAATGCTAAACTTGGATAATGTAACTGCTATCCAAAATCTGTGATTAAACATATATGTCGATCAATCTTATACTCCAAAGTTAATTTTAAACTTAAATAATTGATGCTATAATATGATGTCTGTTTTTAAAAATGTATTATGAATGTTTTATTTTTATGATTACTGTTTCTATACATTTCGTTATAGTTGTATTATGCATTGTTGTAGGGTAGATAGCTGAGTAACTGATAACATATTTGTTGTGTACACAAGTAGATAGATATCAAGACTCAGTAGCTAACTGGATAACGCGATGGTGTTTGAAGCGAATGGTATTGGACTTGACTCCCGGAGTAAATATCATTCTTGCTTAAAAAAGCTTGTGACTTAAGGCTATATCGAGGCAATCTGCACAGGATGCATATATGCCAATAAGAGACTGATCAATTGCAGTCCTAAATAACAATGGGAAGATACAAATAAAACAACAGCAAGGTAATTTGTGTTGTGTATATATTTACATGATTTGATTCTTCCTCTTTTTTTTTGAAAATGTAAATATAGATCAAAGTAGTAATGTAAGATGAAGATATGTTTAATGTAATTTAAGTTTGATTCATGATGTTTACTACAGAATGTTTTCATTGTTGATTAGCTTCAGAAAGTAAGGATCAATTTTACGTTTCAAAGCATTCTGAATAGAGAATTTAATTTTCTATTTAATGACATTCATTGCCTCTTTTAAGTGATGAATTATGTATATGTGTAATTGTCAAGCATAAACGACATAGAATCTAAAATGTAATGAAACTTTAGAATATGAATAGTTGTAGTAGTAGTAGTAGTAGTAGTAGTAGTAGTAGTAGTAGTAGTAGTAGTAGTAGTAGTAGTAGTAGTAGTAGTAGTAGTAGTAGTAGTAGTAGTAGTAGTAGTAGTAGTAGTAGTAGTAGTAGTAGTAGTAGTAGTAGTAGTAGTAGTAGTAGTAGTAGTAGTAGTAGTAGTAGTAGTAGTAGTAGTAGTAGTAGTAGTAGTAGTAGTAGTAGTAGTAGTAGTAGTAGTAGTAGTAGTAGTAGTAGTATAATGATAAGTCAATCGTGAATCTACTGAATAAAATCAAATACATGCCGGAAGCTATACAGAATTGAACCAACTAAGAGAAAAAAACAACTAACTATTTAGTTAAATGCATACAAATGTAACATTTGAGTTCTTTTTTGCATAGTAATTAAAAGTTACGCTCAATCGATGAATAGATTTTTATTGGTTAACTTAATGAAATAAACAATTCAGTTCATGATGTAGAATGTACAATAAACAATCTCTCTAAACTCACTGTACTAATACGAAAAAGAAAAATAGGAACTTTTAATTAAATTTAAATGTTTTGTTTTTACCTCAAGTTCTTTTCTATTACCGAAATGCGGTTAAAAAATAATCAAGAATAAATTATCAGTATGGGGTTGTGTAGATTATTAAGTTTCTGATTAAGATCATTAATCGATCGATGTTAGACCACCATTGAAAACTTGGAAGCATTAGACAACCGTCTCTTCCTAGTATGGAAATTCTCGACAGTTAGATATTAACACTATTGGATGCCGGTCGGATCAGTGGTCTAGAGGTTAAGCGTTCGCATACGAGAACGAAGGTCCTGGGTTCGAAATCAGCGAACGTGAATGTGGATGCGCACTGCAGAGGAGTCCCATACTAGAACGAAACGATCATCTAGCACTTCCTGGTTTTCTAGCATCAATTGTTTCATGATCATATTCAAAAAATTTATTTGTTTGTTTATGTATTTTAAAAGTTATCCTCTATTCATAGTATTCTCTTGAGAGTGAAGTTAATTCAAATCATTGCAAATCCACTGAGTATATTGAAAACAAAAAAAAAACACACAACAGAATCTAACTTGTTTGTCATGTAAATATTTTCTTGATTTTGTTAATTACATACAGAATTAACTTGATATAATAAATATAAAATGAATAAGGAATAATTAAGAAATAAAATAGAAATGTTATGTATAAAAGATATTTAAGAATTAAGTAAATTCATTCACTTGAATGAATGAAAAACAAATGCCTAATACATAATTTCCATAAGGAATTACTCAATAATACTCTCTTCTTTTTTATAATTTTTTCTATATTCTTCTCGTACCAACCCCCCACCCACACACACACATTCTTACACTTTTTGAGTAATACTATGTGACTCATAAATTTACATCATTGTGAGACAAAATGAATGAAATTGGACAACATCATTTTATTTCCTCTTCTTTTAGTATACATTTTTTTTATTTTGGTAAATGGTTAACCTCATGTCCCACCCTCCTCATTTATCCGGGCTTGGAACTGGCAGTAGCTGTAGGTGGAGTTTATTTTGATAAAAAGTAAATGATAATTTAAGAATTACAATTAATGTATCACTGAGTGGTGATCAATATCATATATGTCAGGTCCTTCTTAGTGTAGATTGAATACTATCAATCCGTCAGGGAACATTAGTTCCCTCAAGATTACAGGTACATCTTGCTGACAAATACCAAGTAGTATGAAACCTAGGTCTAGGGTTTCCTGTTAACTATCTCCAACCACTATCTTAAAGACTTTACAGATGAAATATTAAAATTTCAATTTATTGACATTATGAACCGATCTAAGTTCAACTAACCATTAAAAACTGGGGATAATTGATCAGCTATTTCCTCCTAGTTAGTCTTCAAAAAGATATTGTTGTTTAATAGCTAGCAGCTAAATTTCAAAACATTATTGACAAGACTATCTTGTGAAAACAGCATATTAATTTTAATATCTACTATGTAAAGCCAACATAAATAAAAGTTAACTTGTCAACTTAACCTAACGTTGTATAACTACCGTACAAGCTATTGTGTGGAATGTAGAAGTTCTCAAAAAATGCGTTGTAACGTTTTCGGAAATTTTATATCTTGCTTAGATAGGGGGATAGTTAAGTGTATTTAGCATTAATTGATTTATTTGGTGAACGTCGAGAATTATATCGATAGGAAATTCGCCTTCACAGATAAGTACTTTGATGGTAAAGTTGGATATGGGTACATCCAGCTGACACTTCTCAAATAGGATGAAACACAGGTCCTAGATTTCTTTCTGCTAACTACAACCCATCTATTCCGCAAGCCTGTGACAAGATGGCTCTATTCATGTATTTCTCATGGGATACACTTATGCCAAAATAAAGGCTGGTCAAAATTCAGTCAAGATTATCAGTCACTTACTAATAATATAGTTATTTTAAAAGCTTAAGAAAACCTTGAAATACTATATCCACTTATTCAGTCCCTCTCTTTTGGGTAATTTTTATCAGATAAACCAATGACTTTCTTTTCTGACCAATTCAAGTGTAAATACGATCTCTACCCGTAATTCTGTTCTTACTACTACTAATGCTACTATTAATCACACTATTTTTATTCCAAACGTTTATGCATACATCTTCGTAATTGCTCATTCGTTTAATTCCCCAGGTTCCGTCTCTAACCTGGCCACACTCATGCAGGTAATTTATTCTGAAAAATCTATAATAACAATATCTAAACATTTGGATGAATTCTGATTGATCCTTCAGTTGACACAGTCTAACTGTTCCAATCATAATTTTTTTAATTTTTTTGATGAAAATAATTTTAAGCGTAAATAAGAAACCGTAAAAATAATACTCAATTGATTAAACGGTGTATTTTTAAGAAGTAAATTTTGTTAATGTTAAGGATGCTAGATTCCCAGCGCTTACTTCTTAAACATTTATTTTTATAATTTTATTTTGGAAATTCGAATCTCTTGTTTTCGCGCCAAAGGTGCCCATTTTCACCTTCATATCACATTTCCCACTTGGCAGAACTTTAAATGTTTCTTTTAATGTTATTTTGTGACTTTTCTGTTATAACTTGTCAATTAAATGCTACTTGTTATATCTGGTAGTCGCTGATTGTTTATCACTTATACTCGAAACGAGGGACCTATGCAATTCCCACGACTCGAAAGTAAGAACACAAAAACTGATATAAGTGATGGTTTATTAACCCCAACACACGACGACGAAGATTCTAGTAGAAAATATACTCATTTATATATTGATTGTACACCCATTTTGATTAATAATTAGGATGAAATCATATATAAAAAATCACATGCTGAGCATAGTTGATGTCAGTCGAATACAAGAATACCGTATATTATACAGAATAAAATATCATACGAGAAAAAGAAACAAATACTGCATTGAGTAATCATCACATTGAATAAAAACAGAAGTAATCTTGAACCAATACTCGTAATGAGTAAATCAATCGAATTTCGACTTCTTTCCATCATATAAATTTCCCTTCTTTTTTTAATACCCAAAGCTTAGATCCTGACATAAATTTTCTGACTTTCCCCCTCCCACGAAATAGTATTGGGTCCTCATATTCCCAAGTTACAGTTAGTGTGACTCTATTTAAAACATATTTCCCGCATTTAGTAGAGAGTCCACTAGAACTAATTAGATGGTAAGAATCAACGACACTTGATATGAGGTCATTAAGGTTTGATTCTTCTGAAACTTTTTCATCAAGTTTCTTGAAAATATCATTGGTAGATAGTGGATCACCAGGATAATCAGCATCTATCAAAATTTCATTACGTTCTTCGTCACCCGTGAACCGTCTTCACAGTTTTCCAAGGACATTTTTGTGCTGTATATATATATATATATATATATATATATATATATATATATATATATATATATATATATATATATATATATATATATATATATATATATATGAGTTGTGCTTGTTGTTCCTCTTCGTACTTCTGGCTGTTTGTGGAATATATTTTCCCTTATCGGAACTTAGACTTCTCCCTCTAGTTATAGGGACTAAAACGTATCAGTATAGTTAGCTTATTTTGTCATTGTGTCGCTGAGCCTTCGTTTCGTTCGACGATTTTTAGGTGATGTCGTAATCTCTTCAAACATAACAGTTAATTACCTTCATTTAATATGTAATCATGAACTTTATACATGGAAACTATGAAATTTATATTATACTATTTTCCCATTATTTACATGATTGTAAACAATATCTTATAGTTAATGTGTTCCAGTTTTAGATAAAACAGATTACTAATAACTTCTGATTTTTACATTGTCAGATTTGCAATAACCAGTGTAGCAACAGCCTCAGCAGCAGTAAGCCTCAATATACACAAAGGGAAAAGCAAGATTCTCCGATACAACACAGCATGCACCAATGCAATCACAATTGACTGAGAAGATTTGGAAGATGTAAAAACCTTAACATATCTGGGCAGCATCATTGATGACAACGGTGAATCTGATGCACATGTGAAGGCATGAATTGGCAAAGCAAGAGTAGCATACCTACAATTGAACAACATCTGGAATTCAATGCAACTGTAAACCAACACCAAGGTCAGGATTTTCAATACAAATGTCAAGACAGTTCTACTCTCTGGGGCAGAAACCTGAAGAACTACGAAAGCCATCATCCAGATGATACAGGTGTTTATTAACAGTTGTCTACGTAAAGTACTTCGCATCCGTTGGCCAAACACTATTAGCTACAACCTATTCCAGTAGAGAAAAAAATCAGGCAGAAGCACTGGAAGTGGATGGGACACACACTGAGGAAGGCACCCATCTGCGTCACAAGACAAGCCCTCACATGGAATCCTGAAGGTGAAAGAAGAAGAGGAAGACCAAAGAACATATTACGTCGGGAGATCGAGATAGACATGAGAAAAATGAACAAGAATTGGATGGAACTAGAAAGAAGGCCCAGGACAGAGTGGGTTGGAGAATGTTGGTCAGCTGCCTATGCTTCATTAGGAGTAACATGCGTAAGTAAAAGTGAAAGTAAGACTATTTCCTCATCCTTCTCATATGTGCACCGGTATTTTCTACAAAGTTCTTTCTCACTTCTATATATTATATTTCAGCATATCTTCCATTAACAGTATATCTAGTAATCATTCAACATAAATTATCACATACCTTAAATAGTAATATCTTTTGATCTTGTTACATTTTGTTCTTAATTTGTTAAGAGACTATCACACAACAACAAAAAATGTTCATTATTCTCATTTACCATTGATCTTGGTAAGAGAAAAGCTTGTTTGTTTTTTTCTTTTTCATGTTTAGTTTTGCTATAATCATTTTCGAAAGATGTGAAGAATAACAGTGAATTAGTTGGATACATTTGATCAGATTATTTATCTTCACTGTCAAAAACATAACATGTTTATGAAACTTCAAGAAGACTAACTCTCTTCTTCTTTTTTGTTTCTTTTCTCTCAAAATAGAAATAAAAATTGTCATTTACAAATCTCATCATAAATTAGATTACTGTTTATAAATAAAAATGTTATCCATTAAAGAAAATTATGAAAATTCAATATCATTCTTAATTTTTGTTGGCAATTACTTACGCCTGTTACTCCTCGTGAAGGATCATAGGCCGCTCACCAGCACTCTCCGTCCAACCCTGTCCTGGGCAATCCTTTCTAGCTCCGTCCAGTTGGGGTGATCCAGAAAATTTCTCGCAAAAGACAACCAAGGATCAGGAAACACTAAGAAGCATTTCATCCAATTAACGTTCACTTGGAGTTTTAGTCAGAAATATCAAGGAAATGAAACGTCACATGTGGAGGTTCTGATTGGCTGGTTGCTATACTGCTACTATGTTTAGTAGCATTCCAGAACCTTCGAGCAACCCAAGGACATTTAAAATATTATAAAAACCCTATATTTTCCATATTGAAATGAACCTTGGAGTAGAGTACTTCTCGCATACTTTGCGTCTTCTCTATTGTGTTCAGGTTGCTGTATAGTTCTAGCTTGGGGAGTTACAGAATAGCTTAGGAAACGAATATAGCGTTCATTTTGCAAGACTTATCAATTTTTAATTAGAAACAGTTTTTTTTTGTTGAATTTTATTTGGACACATAAATATTGGTACAAGAGAGCACCAAATAGATATGTGCCACATAAACCACTTGATTTGTGCATGGGGATTTGATACAGATCTAGTGGCTAGACAGAAGTAGGTGGCTTTCTTAGGGGACCATATCTAGAGCCTTCGACTCCAAAGTCTGATCCGAAGGTAGTGAAGCAACGTAAGGAGATTTATTCCTATGGTAACCGGTCATCAACAATTGGTTTATATGTCATTTGTTCATTCAGGATACTTGAGTCCATGTACACCATTGGTTTGGAATCAGGGTTTTCTAACTCCGCTCGGTGTTCACCAACCTCGGTTAAAGTACCAGATATTCGCTTTACGTCCTCTTAACTTCGTAAACAACACACCATCATGAGAAGGCGATGAGTATGACTTCCCTGAAAGAGGCTGTATACGCGTGGCCATGTGAGAGCATTTCGAAAGGGAGAGCGGACTCTCCTCACCCTCGGCTGAACCAGGGCACTTAAAAGCAAACAGAATTATTTGATATTCAAAAAGTTATTATTTGAGTTCTTTTCTCAGACACAAAAGTATTTTACACATTGAAGATGATATCAATATTTGATATTTTTCAAATATATAATTAGAACCCCCTCAGTAATTACTAGTGTACTATTGATTTGTAAAATCCACAAGGAAAAAGAATGGAAATCAAGATTAAATGACTAAATCGCATTTTGAATAAATGATACTACACATTAGAACCAAGAAAAAAAAAGCAAAATGAGAAGAATTTATTGTTTCATATTAATCTTGTTATTATTATTTCATACGATAGCGGCTTCTATTTAGTTGTATTTTTGGTATCAAATGAAACTAACATATTTATCACGATGTCATACATGTCATACATGATATCGATCAGCACTCAGTGACCAATCAATTGTAAATACATCTCAGTCCTACAAGAGGTTAGTCGCCGCCTGTATAACTCAATGGTAACATCTGACTGCGAAGCTAGGTGACACAGGATCTAATCCGTCAAAGAGCATCAGTTTCTTCAAGATTACAAATACACCTTGCTGACAAGTTTCAAGTAGCACGAAACTTAAGTGCAAGGTTTTCTGTTGACTAACTCCAACCACCATCTTATAACAAATAATCATCTACTAATTCATTTAAACTGATCTGTTTATCATTGGAATATAAACAGTAAATAAATAATGTAAATAAATCAATGTAACCGTTAATATATCTCCATATATCTAAACATAACCCAAGTTAGTTCAATCAACTATAATTTATCTTTGATCCACATTATTTATTTCGGTAATTAATGAGTTTTAGAATACTTATATTCAACTGATTGATTCGTTAAATCAATTATTATCCATTATATACAACCCCATTTAATGTTTGTCACTTTATTAATATGCATATATAAAAAAACTATTTATGTTTTCTAATTAGAATCGCTTATGTTGTTTGTTTTTTTTTTAAAAAAAAAAGAAGGGTGACATCGCTTAAGACTATTAATAATGATTGAAGAAAAAAGAAAAGAAAACAAAAATAATGACGATAATTTTGTGAGAAAAGGAAAAAAAGAAAAGATGGTGGTGGTGATGATGATGAAGATGGTGACGATGAATCATTGTGTTTATTTTTATATTCACTTGAAAGTTTCTTTTTCAATTTTTCTCATTTGTGAACCACTTGAATGTTTGCGTTTGTTTTTTTTTTGTTGTGCTTTTTTTTAAAAATTATTATTTTCAAGCAATAATTCACTATTTCATACATAGATTATAATGAATAAAAGAAATTGACATAAATATAATGAGAAGAGGGGTGTTTGATGGAGATTTTAGTAATTTTAATCGTTGAATTTATGAGTCAATTGACGATAGATTACTATGGAAAACTTGGAAGTACTGAACTGCCATTTCGTTCTAGTATGGGACCCCTCAATATTCTTTCATTATAACATAAAAGGAGAAAATGATTCTTTCATATGAAATATCTTTTTAAAAAATATTGCTAAATTATTATTTCTATATTGATATTGATTAATGTATTAAAGATTTATGAACTAAAATGAGGGGGGGGAATTGCACGAAGAATTTGTTTTTATGTTAACGGTTTATTATACAGAAACTGTATATGAAAGATTTGAAATGCAATCATTTATTAGTTGGTAATTCAGAGCCAACTAAATCACACTTGATAGCGAAACTCTGGAAGATGTAGAATCCTTCACATACCTGGGAAGCATAATCGATGAACAAGGAGGTTCAGATGTAGATGTAAAGGCGAGAATCGGCAAAGCAAAGGCCGCATTCCTACAATTGAACAACATATGGAACTCAAAACAACTATCAACTAATATCAAAGGGAGAATCTTCAATAGGAACATCAAGACAGTTCTACTGTATGGAGCTGAAACTTGGAGAACAACTACAACAATCATCAAGAAGGTAAAAGTATTTATAAATAGTTGTCTACGCAAGATACTCAACATCCATTGGCCGGATACCATCAGCAACAGCCTTTTGTGGGAGAGAACAAACCAGCTTCCAGATGAAGAGGAAATTGGGAAAAGAAGATAGAAATGGTTAGGAAATACATCACGCAAATCATCAAACTGCATCACGAGACAAGCCCTAACTTGGAATCTTGAAGGGAAGAGGAAATAAGGAAGACCAAAGAACACATTACGTGGTGAAATAGAAGCAGATATGGAAAGGATGAATAACAACTGGAAAGAGCTGGAAAGTACTGCTCAAGATAGGGTTAAATGGAGAATGCTGGTGAGCTACCTATGCTCCTTCACGAGGAATAACAGGCGTAAGTAAGTAATTCAGTGCCATTAAATACATACTGCTTCACTTTAGATAAATGAACCAAACTACAGGAACTAGTTTTACAGTAATGACAAATTAATATTCACAAATTTAACTACCAAATATCACTGTTGAATAGACTCAAACATAGGATAATAAATAAAGAAAACTATAGAGGCTATTCACACAATTTAATTTAACAAGTAAATATTTTGATTAAAATCATGAACCAATAAATGTTACAGCACCATTGAAAACCGAG